GAGTTCCCCTCAGCCCCAGCCCTCAGCCCCCTGGTTACCCAAAACCGGTATTTTTGGGGCCAAATCTGCCGCGGTTTTTCCACAGTGGCACTTTTTCCTTCCTGAGGGATGTTGCCAGCGTAGGGAAACCGAGCGGCACGTCTCCGTGCCGCCCCGGGGCTCCCTCTGGCCGGCCCAGGCGCAGGGGCCCAGCGCCTCAGCCCCGGCACAGTTGAACTGGGGCGGTGTAAGCAGCGCCTCGCTCTCAGCTGGCTAAATAGCCCCTCATCGGTGACACAGCGTATGGAACAGGCTCGGTAAGGGGGGAAAACAGCTTCGTAAGATCAAAAATCTCTGTGACTCGCCACACGGAGGGATTTGCCACTCGGACCTGCCGGCCGAGGCCTGCCCGCAGGCCCCAGCTTACTGGCAACGTCTGTGAATTCACGTAAGACCTGAAGGTGGCAAGCGATGTACACTTAACACAAAACCAGCCTGCAGTCCAGGTTCCCGACTCGTGCCTAATGGCTGCAACTAAATCCCCTTTTCTGCCTAAACACGATTATTGCGTTGTGCTTTGTACGTCACGACATTTGTTTCCCTTACAGATCCTGTGCGTGTTAATGTTTCAGCCTCCGTCAGGCTCTCTCGGTGACAACCACACAGTAAATTTGTCATCACACCAGGATGGAATTTAGGCCACCTACTGACTCCAGTTACCACCAATCGCCTCGATTTCCCCCTCTGACACGACGGGAGGAATATTTACCTACTGCCTCAGGCATTATGGCAAGGGCTGAGCTGGGGAATGTTTGCAACACACTCTGAAGCTTGGAAAATGTTACACCAGTCCCCAATGTTGCCAGCTTCAGATACGGCTAACCTAGAAATGTTTAGTCTGTCTACAAGCTGGTATTATAAAATCAAGGCAGATAAGCTGTTTTTTCTGCCCTTCCTTATTAATATATCCAGAGAGAAGGGAACATCGCAGTAACTGTTTCATTACAGTACCACAGATAGGAGAGATACCTGGTATTATGTCTTTGAGTTTACTGACTTGAGATGTTTGCAACGATCTGACCAAAAAAAAAAAAACCCCAACCAACCAACCAAGACAAATCCCTTCTCCAAAGGTACACAAACTGTCCATCAACTACCAACAAATCATTCACGCCTTGGTCTTTTTGGCAGCATGCAGATTCCTACTTTGAATAACACCAAGGTATATAAATCTTCCATTTCTGTCCGAGGTTCTCCTGTAGCAATTACCTAAAATAACTTAAATGCTCCTCTGTAAGCATGAGAAGCGTGTCAGTCTAGCAGTAAGTTACTGTAAGCAATCTATAGCTCTGTTCACTTAGGGACATAATGGCATGTGCCAGTGGAATGTATGTTGTTAAGTCCCATTATGAAACTTGTATCATATTTATTGACTCACGACTCACTAATGCTGTGTTCCACTAGTAACTCCCACAGTTAATGGTGATCAGGTACACTGCTTTATTGTTTCTTACTGGAAACTTCAAAGACACCCTAATTACACTTTTTTATATATATACATTTGCTAGTGAATATTTAATGGTTTTCATAGATAACATATGTATACACAAATGCATGCACACTTGCACGTTCTGCTTGATTGTATTTAAATCACATACTGCTGTTGGCAGACATAGGGGTAGGTAAGGTTTTTCAATTTTCTTTTTTTGTCCTCCTAGCCTGGGAATAGCAGATTTGGTTTTAATCAACCTCTTTGCAGTCTTGAACTTTGTCCTCCTGGAATACAGTGCCATTCATTTAAGGATTTCCCTCTGTCTAATAAACATTAATGAATCACACTCTACAATTCCCTAGTGATCTTATCTCAGTTTCACAGATGGGGAAAACAGAAACAAATTAAGGGGTCTGCACACACCACAAATCAAAGGCAGAGCTGGGGGAAAAAAGAAACCAACCCAAAACAGTAATCCTAGCACAATTCCCTGCTCCAATAACTCTGTAAAAATGCGTTTCTACCCGTGCAGCTGCTCTGTCAGTAACTGTGCTGCACAGGGCAGCAAGGTTACATTCAAACTAGCCAGAAAGACTGAAATTGCCTTTTTCCTAAGGTTTAGCTTTGCACATAACAGCAAATTTTGTGAGGTGATAGAGGGCTGTAGCTCTGCCAGCTTCCTGTACTGAATTATTTCTGAGGATGTCTTTTTTATTTTTTCCCCTTCTGAGCAGAGGATATCTTTCCTTTTCTGATGAGCAGAGATGTAGCAGGATATGGGGAATATTCCAGGCCCTACTTGTACACCACAGGTTTATCCACCTTCCCAGAGGAGAGGCCTGACTTCCTGGGGAATTTTCTTGTCCTTCCTCTGGACAAAGCGGTCCATTCCATGACGAACACGGCATCCCTTGGTGCCTGTAAAGAAAACCACATCTATTAATTACATTGAGCAAGCGAAGACAGATAATTGCCTTGTGCCTGGAATCTCTAAGTAGGGCCACTTTCTAGAAAAAAGATCCCCGAGCTGTAATTTCAGTACAGACAAGCAGAATAAACCAATGTTCCCTGCAAGCTGCACTCCTGTCAGACAACCAGCAGTTTTTTCTGACAGCCCGGATTTTTGTGGCACTGGCTGTGAGTCATTATTGAAAAAGTGTTATTCTTAAAACAGAGGATGAGCGCTGTAGAAAGAAGGTGTTAGACACAGCAGGAAAAACAAAACCCCTTTTACACCTCCATCTGCTATCTTACAGTGCCTTGCTACAAAACATTTACAAATCGACAAGTTTAATTTCAAATTTTGCTCCACTTGTTAAAAATGGCTTCTTTTTGAAGACGGAATCGGATGCTTTAGCCTTTCTCCTACATAATGAATAGATTTTCCTTGTTTTTAACTCTGTGGAAAAGAACAATTTCTACAGCACAGCCTTCTGCCAGGATAGCCAGGTTACTCATAACTGAATTCACAGGTTTCTGCTAAAAAAAAGGCTCCAGGAAATACAGCACTGCCAGCTCTGCACTTCTACTGGCTTGGCTTGTTCTGTTCAGCAGGTGGCAAGGGACAGCGTATGGCCGGATCCAGGCTAAGAATTGCTCCGCTGGAATAAAATACGGGTATTTCTGTGCTGGGAAAGGATTTGCAGTGTCAATCTACCCCCGAGAACACATCTCAACTGCAATCTTGTGCTTGACACAGCCCCTGGAGAAGCTCCTCAGCCAGGTCTCGCTTAGCTGCTGCCTGCACGGAGGATGAGATAACTGCTACGGCAATTCCTCGGCCACTTGCTCGTGCTGAAGCCTGTGCCCTTGCCCCTTCCTCAGCCAGCTGGTCCGAGGCTGCAGCAGCTTCGTCTGGGCAGCGGATCACAGTTACAGATTCGGGTCTCAGTGCCCCAGTTCTGCAAACGTTTCTGCACAAACCTTATTGTATTCAGTAGAAGAGACCTGGCACACTCACTGCAAGCCTGAACTGTGACTCTTAAAAGCCTATTTTCTTTTATCATTAAAGTTGGTCTATGACGGGCCAGCAATTGATTTTGTTAATTTACCACCCTCACACGTACGCCTGCATCACCCTTTTTAAATTTAACTACGGTGTCAAGATCTGCAGCTGTTTCCGAGGCCACATACATGAATGATTGCTGCTCCTGCCAGGTGCAAGTATGAATAAAAAGGTCGTGGGCTGTGGGGAGGATTAGGCTTTGGCTCAGCTGTTTGCATTCTCACACAGAGCACGGTCCGTCCATCCATCCGCCTGTCAGCCCGCACACACGAACCAGACAGGTGAGACGCTGAATATTGGAAACAATTCAGTGACGCTCATACAAAGCCACTACCAAAGATGTGCACAGTCTGTGGTTTTAAAAAAAGCTTTTACAGCAATCCTCCGAGCAGCCCGTGGATCAGGGAAATTATCTGTACAGAAATATAAATGCAAAATGGCATGGGAACAGTCTCCCCGGAGACTGGGGTAGGGTAGACTGAAGAATATCTAAATCTTTAAATGGTGCCTGAGATTTTCGTGTTAAATTGGAACATTTTCTTCCCACGCTCACCTAAGAAGATGGAGGAAGGCGGCTACTTATGGGCAGTTAGCACATGCACTGAGAGCAATCAGGGCAAAAAAATTGACCAGGCTTGGACCAGACCCATCTCCCTGGATCTCCACCTGAAGTATTTCACTAATTCAAGGCCTTTTGTACCTGCAGTAATGAAAGCTAATGGCTATTTTAAGACCTTTTCACGCTTGCCCTTCTGTTACAACCCATGGGAGGCTTCTAAGCTATTTTTGTATATTAGACATAATTTCTCTCCTGACTTCCTTATCAAATGTGCAAAATAATCAATAATTCACTTAGGCTCTACATTCCTGTTAGAGTGCACCATGGCTGTGATTTAAATATATTTCTATGACTGTAAAATAAGAAGACATCCTAAACTATCCTGGAATTGTCCTCTTGTATGTGACAGCACCTCCTACTACCCCGAGTAGTTTTATTTCCCCAGCTGTTAAATCTAGGACAAAATACTACTCTTTTGTTCTATATTAAGACCACGGAATAAAAGCAGCTGACTGCTTTCCCAGCCTCTGTCCTCACTGAGGGGAACGTGGGTTGAAGAATTAACCCCTGGCATGAGCTTGTCTCACAGTAAGTCATTAAGAAAAGCCAGATCTCCTCGATGCTCTCCCGGAATTAGGTGGTGATGGAGACACCCGTAGCTTGCCTCCCCCTCCCATAGCCCTCACCGTGCGCTGGGGTTAAAGGCTCACCTGTGATTACAGGGTGATTTCCTTCCACAGCCTTGTTTTGAAGAACTTGAGATTCATGTAACTTAAGAAGTAAAAAGAAGGTACAAAATCCCCCCATTCCCTTACCACTGGTGCTGCCACACCTCCCAGGTCA